CTTAAATGGTTTGTTGCAGTCAGTTTCCTCAAATAGTTTGAGTTACTATAACTTTTTGGGGTTTACGGTGCATTGATTTTAACTTGCATCTCAATGGAACTGACTTAGATATTAGGTTAAACTTTGTAAAACTAAAATAAATAGTTGATTAACTTATTAAAATAAATAAAAATAAGTAACATAAAAATCACATTTATTGCCATGACCTCACTATAAAACCCAATAAGTTAAGGTAACTCAAACCATCTGAGAAAACCGATTAGCAACAAACCATTTGAGTTAAAAACTAATTTATACGAGAACTGTGAACTTCATCATTTAAGTTGAAGTAATGAGGTATTTAATTAATTCATTACCTTCAACACAGAGTTCAAAACTCTTTTTAAAGGAGTCGAATTAACTTTCAGTCAATTTTGAGTTAACTACACTCATTTCATTTGATAAAGTTGACTGCTAGGTTTTACAGTGTTGTCGTTATATTTTTAGTACAGTAATTTATTTTGGGGGGAAAAAACGTTCTAACCTTCCTAGTGTTGAACAATGTTGTATATTTAACACTAGAACCACCATGAGGTCAATTTTACTCATCACTGTTAATCCAATGTACATAACAAACCTTCAAAAAAAAAACATTTACGCCTCTCAGTCTTTGACTTTTACTAACATGGACTTATTTACAATTCCCAGATATTAAAAATTGTTTAGATAAAAATAGACTAAAAAGTGGAACATTTATTTCTATAAGTGCCAGCATGGGTCAAATTTACCCACTATAAAAAAATGCTTTACGCACTGCTAATGTTTGAAATTATTCACCAAATACTTTCTTTCAATTTAGCTCACTGAATGACTAAAAGAAGGCGATTTGTAGAGCTATTAAAAACACAAAATGCAATGAATGATGGACAGTCTGGAAAAATAAGTTATGCATCAGAGTATGATGGCTCAAATTTAGATATTTTAACCTACTTATAACCTACTCCTAAAATAATCTTGGTATCCTGAAATAATAATTTCATAAGTCTGAACACTTTTTGTTAAAAATGGTGAAAAACAGTGAAATAGTGTGTTTGTTTTTTAGCAATTTCTTAACAAAACTTGTTCTGGGTAAAATTTACCCGCACTGGCTATTTTAGATATACAGTAACCTCCGGTGGTTCTAGTGTTAAGCAAACAAAATGGAAAATATATTAAGTGTATATAAACTATATTAAAAGTTAATGTATTTACTAACATGAGCTAATAATGAGCAATACATGCATACGCTCAGGAAATACTATAAACTATTTCTTCTATGCTAATGAAGGACTACTGGGACATTCCAGTCAAAGGAGGAGTCCTCCTGGTTGAGTTCCTCACAGCTCCAATACACATCTCTACCATTTGCTCACAGTATCCATGTGCTTTCACCATCCACAATTCATCTACTCGTAATCTTCCTTCATATAACTTTACCACGTTTGGTGTTACTTGACGGTTTATGACTTCAGCAATGTAGTGATGAAATCAACAGAGACTTTGATGTATTTCAATATACAATCTATTTACTATTGTTGAGTCATGGCCTGAGGAGAGTATGTTAATGAACATCTCCCCCCACTTTATCTCCACAGCTTTGGTTTCATGTTCAGCTGGTTTTGTGGGGGGGAGGTATTTCACTCATGTTTGACAATGCTTTACTCAGGATATAGGAAGGAAAGGTAACTGTTGATGGGGGGAGAATGGCTTTTGCTCTGGGTCTCCCGGTGCAGTTTCACTGTCTTTATTGCTCAGCGGTGCATTTGTTACAGCTAGATTTCTCTATACTGCATGTTAGTTTGTTTCATTCTTCTGTCTGTGTAATTAAACAAGTGACTTAAAAAACAACTTTGCCTGCTTCAAGCAATGGTAAAAAAAGTACTGAAAAATCATACTCAAGTAAAAATACCATTACTTGCCTAAAAATGTCGTGCAATTGGAGTAAAAGTATCTGTTGTAAATATTACTCAAAGTATGAGTAAACAAACATATATATAAACATTAGATGTCGCCTGGCCTATTGTTGTCTATTGGACGGAATGCGTCAATAGCGCCGCCATCTTGCTACAGGGCAGCGCTCCTTTGAAATGAAAGCGGGACCAAGGTACAGTGGAGGACTGTGGCCATCCAAAGCCAGAGATATACACATATACACATATATCCATGATCGGGAGTTTTCCTGGATGTTAGTATGTAATTTTTTTTCTAATTACGAAAATTATAATTTTACATCACTTTTCTACATTGATGGATCAGCGATCGCACTGGCATTCCTGACAAAAAGCTTGTGTTTGTGTGTACAGAAATGTACTATCCACCCTCCCTGTTAAATTTGATCTAATCAGTGTCCTGAAACACATCCTCCTCTCCTGCTTTCCCTTCTCATACTGACGGAGGGAGCGATTAGTTTGTGAATGAATCCCCCGAACTACTCTTTCACAAACGTTAGCTGACAATAATATGTTGCTGGCAGCGCGGCATCTCGTTGTCATAATTCTTTTGCATTGTTTGCTAATTTTATTCAACAAAACTAGCATAAGCCGAGTGTTTAGTGCGAGTTGGAGCTGCTTTGCCATATGGTGAATGCAGTAAGTGACTGTTATCATCAATAACGGGACCTGATTAGCACAAAAGTTTAGAACATACAAAAACAGAAAAAAAAACTTTATATTACCTATGAAATGTTCTGCCTTTGTGCTTTGTTTTCTTTGTTTGCTCGTTACTACACCAGTAGACAGCGCTAAAGTCCAGCATCTTCACGTAATAACACTGTCTTGAAAAGTGCGGTTGAGTGACATTTGTCCTTGGAGCACTGTACCAATGTGGCGGCGCTATTGACGCATGCTCAGGGTCCCTATGCGATATCTAGTGTATATATCTATGATGAGTAAAAAGTAGTCCTTTCAAAAGTAGTGAGTAGGGAGTATAATTTGTGCATGTGTGTGTAAACGTAACATTCTGTAGTGCATTTAGTTATTGCCCAGCAGACACACAACGTCATAAAGGTTTGAATATTAGGTTAGATTTAGGTTGTGATGTCAGGTATCCAAAATTCAATGTCTAGCCAGCTTCTGAGGACAACGTTATTTGATGTCTAATACAAAAGTTATTCGGTTGATTTTAAGTTGTTAGAAAGTGACCAAAATCCAAAGTTAAGCCAACCTATTAAACCAACATCATATCGACGTCAAACACTGACATTTATTTATCAGCTACAGCAACCAAAATCCAATGTCTGATAGACGTCAAGCGGTAACCATGTTAGAGGTTGGTTGATTTTAGGTTGACGCTGGCCTGACATCGAGTTTTGACGTCAAACTGAATTTAATTTACAAACAAAATGCGACGTCCCCACATTAGGCTACAACGTCAACCTGACATTGTGTTGGCATCTTGTGCCTGCTGGCTGTTTAAGGCCATTTCAGCCTTCATACAGTAAACATCCGGCATTTTCTCATCAGTCACATGCATCTAAACAGGCTCTGGGTCAATGCGTGTAAAGATTTTGGACATCTTCTTGGACACTAAGTGCTTCCAAACAGTTTTGTGCAAGTATATTCGCCCATGTCTTGAGGTAGTTTTTTATGATGTGATTTGCCTTCTATGTGTGATTTCATTAAATTTGATTGAAAAAAATAAAGGGCAACGCAGTGGCGCAGTGGGTAGCACGTTCGCCTCACAGCAAGAAGGTCGCTGGTTCGATCCTCGGCTCAGTTGGGGTTTCTGTGTGGAGTTTGCATGTTCTCCCTGCGTTCACGTGGGTTTCCTCCGGGTGCTCCAGTTTCCCCAACAGTCCAAAGACATGCGGTACAAATGAATTGGGTAGGCTAAATTGTCCGTAGTGTATGAGTGTGTGTGTGTATGTGTGGATGTTTCCCAGAGATGGGTTGCAGCTGGAAGGGCATCCGCTGCGTAAAAACTTGCTGAATAAGTTGGTGGTTCATTCTGCTGTGGCGACCCCAGATTAATAAAGGGACTAAGCCGACAAGAAAATGAATGAATGAAAAAAATAATAGTGACTGCAGGTTGAAGGAAAGTATTGGAGCAAAAGTACCAATACAACACTAAAAATGTACTTAAGGGAAAGTAAAAGTACATATTTTTAAAATGACTCAGTAAATCACAATTCTTGAGAAAAACTACTCGATTACAGTAATTTGCGTATTATGTGTTACTTTACACCTGTGGCTTTAAGGTGTTTAGATTATTTCTCTTTATAAATGACGATAACAACTTTAACGGAGTCAGATAAATAATTGATTTAAACATAATTTAACTGCTTTCGGTTTATGATTATTGGTTCAGAATAGCAGCGTAAGCTTCAAGCCTTACAACAGCATTTATTAATCCCAGTTCAGCATTTACTAATGCATTATTAAAATCGTAACTCATGCTTGTTAACATTAGCCAATGCACTGTGAGTTAGCAGGAGTTAACAAACAACTTTATTTTTATAAACGTTACCAAACATGAACAAATACTGTAATAAATTTACTGTTTATTGTTTGTGCATGTTAGTAAATGCATCACTTAACATTACCTGACATAAACTTCATTGTAAAGTGTTACTAATACAGCTAATAATTAATTATAGTGTTGATTTCTGAAATCTGCAATAGTCTGCATGTAAGAAATGACAGAGGAAGCCAGATTCTATATTGAAAAAGTAAAAAGTCATCAGTTTTTTTCCTTCACTTTTGTTAATTGGTGAGGTTTGTTCTTCCTGCACATCGATGGATTTGCTCTTCAGTGTTTGGACTTTCCGCAGTGAAAATTAAACCACACTGAACTGAGCTTCAACTGGACTGAGACTGCTTTAATTTACTAGAACTTCTATGTTAAGCTGTTTTGACACAATGTACATTGTAAAAGCGCTACAGAAATGAAGATGCATTGAATCGTATCTAAATTCTGGTCAATCTGACAAAATAAATGCATTTCAAAACTGAAGCTCATTCGTGAGTGTGGAAAGGAGATTGTACCTTTCTTAGCCGTGGCCATTCTGGCATCAATCAGGAGCAAACGGAGGAAAAGCGTCTGTTACGGACTCATGGTAGATCCCATCTGACCTCAAAACAACCCTGAGAGAGACAGAATGAAGGGAAAACAACACAAAAGAGGAATCAATAAGCAGAAGCTGAACTTTGAGAAGCACACAGAGCCATGATACAGCAAACAAGATGATTAACCCTCTTGTGAAATTTTCTTTTTCAAATATTTCTCAAGTGATGTTTAGCAGAGCAAGCAAGACATTCACCACACCATCTTGGAACCGGTGCTCCGGTTTTCCCCCACAGTTTAAACACGTGTGCTATAGGTTAATTGAATGAACTCATTTGTCCGTAGTGTGTGTGTGTGTGTGTGTGTGTGTGTGTGTGTGTGTGTGTGAGAGAGAGAGAGAGAGGGAGACGCAGCGTCTGTCTGTACGCAGCGACGCTGCACTGCTTTGGCAATACGAATGTACAGCTATTTGTCATGCCAATAAAGCACCTAAAATGTGAAATGTGAAATGTGAAATGAGAGAGAGAGAGAGAGAGAGAGAGAGAGAGAGTGTGTGTGTATGGGTGTTTCCCAGAAGTGGGTTGCGACTGGAAGGGTATACGCTTTGTAAAGCCTGGTTTATACTTCTGCGTCAAGTGACTAGCATAACCCACGGCGCATACAACGCGCGTAGCTGTGCATTTATACTTCTGCGCGCTGTCACTGTGGGTCTGCATTAACACTTCTGAAACGCTAGTTGGCAGTGAGGTTTTAATGTTCCTCTGTGTCGAGTTTCTTCGCTCCATCTGGCTTACGCAGCTATCGGTCCCGCCCAGACTCGTCAGCGCTAACAAGCCGACCAATCACAGAGCTTGCGCTACGCATCGTTGCGATGTGTAGTTAAATTTTTTGAGAGGTACACATCAGCGATGCCCACAACGTAGGGCTATGAGTCAACGCGTAGGCTGCGCCATAGCATGCGTGTGCGCTTGACGCAGAAGTATAAATCAGCCTTAAAACATACAGTATGCTGGAATAGTTGGTGGCTCATTCCGCTGTGGTGACCTCTGAAATAGAAAATAATTGAATGAATGAATGAATGAATATCCGCTTGTTAAGTGTGACGTCACGTGAAGCAGCTTCCGGGTCCAAGCGCTCTATTCAACTGATTAGGGAGACTCGTGAAATGGTAATAATAAACTAACTAAGCTAATAAATATTTTCATTTTACAATCTGACATAAGTCTTCTTTCACTACTGCATTGTTTTTAAACAGAGAAACATTTTACAGGTGACTTTTATCTTGTTATTATTCCAAGTCTTATTCTTGAAACAAAAAATGAGCAAAACACCAAAAGTGGACCATATTGAAATTAATCTGAATACTATTTTAGCCAGCCATGAATTATCTAAATACACTTAGAAAAATTGTGAAGTTCTACATTATTATTATTATTATTATTATTATTATTATTATTGTTAGAATTTTTAATATCCAAAGGGCCAAATTGTGACTAAGGACAGTTGAATGTGCTGGCCAGTTTGTTATTTGCTTAATAAATGACAATAAGCTACAGTTTTTAATTTAAAACTTTGACAGATTCTTATTTTTTTCTAATTATTTAATGCATATTTTTTCACATTTCTTTATCAATTAATATATGAAATAATAATAATACCTTTTTAACTTTTACAATGCTAATCCAATTAGATCCACTTATTCGGTAAACAATGCAAGTCTCTCATATAATATAGCTCTACTAAAAAGGCAGAAAACATTACTTTACAATCTGTATTGTAAATAAATCATATGAAACATTGGCATATTAGTCAAAAATTGTAATTAATTTAAAAACTGAATAAATATAAATTTACACAAGTAAATAAATAGATTCAATGATGAGCTAAAAAAAAAAAAAAAATTGCAGAAATGTGCATGCAGATTCCGTGTGGGCCTACTTATAACTCCTAAAACTAAACAAAAACTATTAGCTCCCTTAATAATTTTCTTTATTTAACGTCTATAGAACAAAGCACTGTTGTACAATGATTTGCCTAATTACCCTAACTTGCCTAAATAACCTAGTTAAGCCTTTAAACATCACTTTAAGCTAAATACTAGCATCTTGCTAAATAATTAGTTAAGTATCATGTTCGGTCATCGTGACAAAGACAAAAGAAATCAGTTTTTAGAAATGAGTTAAATAATTTGATGAGTTAAAAATATCACAGAAGGGCTTATAATTCTGTCTTCAACTACACGAGAATAAATATCATAGACTTTTAACACAGTTAAGAGGCTTGCATTGTGTTTGTTAAATGTGCCGCATGTTGCAGTGACACACAGTGAACTCGGCCAGCTGAACTGACCATAATGCATCCGGACAGTCTCCTGTAGAGCAGCGAATTATGAAGGGAAAAATGAGAGCTGGATTAAAGCTTCACAGAGTTGTTCTTTGGATTCTTCTTAATCCATTTCAAAGTAACATCTTTCAGTTGAGATGAAACACTCCCGGACCAATGCGGGATCCAGAGCAGAACGCTGGAGGCCGAGCGTCTCGGTCAATGAATTCTCAATGCAGCTTTCAGAATAAACAAAGTTCGCCTTTTACCTGATTGTGAACTAATAATTCTTTTTGTGCATCAAATGGAATAATGTGTGTTCACAGAATGCAACAGCTTTTATGCACACTGTAAACAATGTTGACTTTGCTTTTAAAAACATGAGTAAGCTTGTTGCTTTTAAAGCAATTAGTTCACTTTACTTAAAACAACAAGTAAGCCCATTGTTTCTACAGCAATATGTTCACTTCACTTGAGATGAGTGACTGGTTGACTTAATAAAGGCGAGTAAATGTGTTGCTTTTAAAGCGATTAGTTGATTTTACTTAAAAGTCAGTCAATTTTGGGATTTAAGGTGATTAAATTTGTCTTTACTTGATAAAGTGAGTAAATTTAGTGCCTTTAATGCAAATAGTTTACTTAATAAAATTTAGTAAAACTTGTTTTAAAAATGATTAGTTGATTTTACTTAATAACATTTTGTAAACTTCCTGCTTTTACTGCGATTATTTGACTATTTAATAAAAGTCAGTAACTTGTTGCTTTTACTGCGATTATTTCACTATTTAATAAAAGTCAGTAACTTGTTGCTTTTACTGCGATTATTTCACTATTTAATAAAAGTCATTAACTTGTTGCTTTTACAGCGATTATTTCACTATTTAATAAAAGTCAGTAACTTGTTGCTTTTACAGCGATTATTTCACTATTTAATAAAAGTCATTAACTTGTTGCTTTTACAGCGATTATTTCACTATTTAATAAAAGTCAGTAACTTGTTGCTTTTATAGCGATTATTTCACTATTTAATAAAAGTCAGTAACTTGTTGCTTTTACAGCGATTATTTCACTATTTAATAAAAGTCAGTAACTTGTTGCTTTTACAGCGATTATTTCACTATTTAATAAAAGTCAGTAACTTGTTGCTTTTACAGCGATTATTTCACTATTTAATAAAAGTCATTAACTTGTTGCTTTTACAGCGATTATTTCACTATTTAATAAAAGTCAGTAACTTGTTGCTTTTACTGCGATTATTTCACTACTTAATAAAAGTCAGTAACTTGTTGCTTTTATAGCGATTATTTCACTATTTAATAAAAGTCATTAACTTGTTGCTTTTACTGCGATTATTTGACTATTTAATAAAAGTCAGTAACTTGTTGCTTTTACAGCGATTATTTGACTATTTAATAAAAGTCAGTAACTTGTTGCTTTTACAGCGATTATTTGACTATTTAATAAAAGTCAGTAACTTGTTGCTTTTACTGCGATTATTTGACTATTTAATAAAAGTCAGTAACTTGTTGCTTTTACAGCGATTATTTGACTATTTAATAAAAGTCAGTAACTTGTTGCTTTTACTGCGATTATTTCACTATTTAATAAAAGTCAGTAACTTGTTGCTTTTACTGCGATTATTTCACTATTTAATAAAAGTCAGTAACTTGTTGCTTTTACTGCGATTATTTCACTATTTAATAAAAGTCATTAACTTGTTGCTTTTACTGCGATTATTTCACTATTTAATAAAAGTCAGTAACTTGTTGCTTTTACAGCGATTATTTCACTATTTAATAAAAGTCAGTAACTTGTTGCTTTTACAGCGATTATTTCACTATTTAATAAAAGTCAGTAACTTGTTGCTTTTACTGCGATTATTTCACTATTTAATAAAAGTCAGTAACTTGTTGCTTTTACAGCGATTATTTCACTATTTAATAAAAGTCAGTAACTTGTTGCTTTTACAGCGATTATTTCACTATTTAATAAAAGTCAGTAACTTGTTGCTTTTACTGCGATTATTTCACTATTTAATAAAAGTCATTAACTTGTTGCTTTTACTGGGATTATTTCACTATTTAATAAAAGTCAGTAACTTGTTGCGTTTACAGCGATTATTTCACTATTTAATAAAAGTCATTAACTTGTTGCTTTTACTGCGATTATTTCACTATTTAATAAAAGTCATTAACTTGTTGCTTTTACTGGGATTATTTCACTATTTAATAAAAGTCAGTAACTTGTTGCGTTTACAGCGACTATTTGACTATTTAATAAAAGTCAGTAACTTGTTGCGTTTAAACGGATTATTTGACTTTATTTAATAAAAGTCAGTAAACTTTTTGCCTTTACAGCGATTAGTTAACTTTACTTAACAAAAAGTGTGTAAACTTGTTGCTAAAGTGATTAGTTGACTTTACTCTTTACAAGAGTGAGCAAACCCATTGCTTTAAAAGGGCACCTATGGTGAAAAATCTACTTTTCAAGCTGTTTGGACAGACATACGTTTAGGTATAGTGTATAGACCGTCATATTGGGGTGATATAACAATAGTGAGTCTACTTGTTGCTTTTACAGCGATTAGTTGACTTGACCAAAGTAAACATGTTCCTTTTAAAGTGATTAGATGACTTTACATAATGAAAGCGAGTAAATCTGTTACTTAAGGTGATTAGTTGACTAAATAAAACAGTAAACTTGTTGCTTTAAAAGCGATTAGTTGACTTGACCTAACAAAAGTGAATAAACCTGTTGC